ATGGTGCTCCCCCGTGCCTCAGGACCTCACTGTGGTGCTCCCCCTCCCTCAGGACCTCCCTATGGTGCTCCTCTCCCTCAGGACCTCCCTATGATGCTCCCTCCCTCAGGACCTCACTATGGTGCTCCCTGTTCCTCAGGACCTCCCTGTGGTGCTCCCCTCCCTCAGGACCTCCCTGTGGTGCTCCCCTTTCCTGGGTGTGTGACCTGTTCCCTGACAACCACGTGACTCTACCCCTAGGTACAGAGCGAGGGCACCACTTCTTACTGAAGATTGACGGGTGTCTGAGATACGCACATAGAGGGACCTGGAGGGGTCTTCAGGGACGCTGAGGCCCGTGTTCTGCTGCCTCCTCCTCCCAGTCCTGGGCTCCTCAGACCCCGGGGGGCTACCGAGCAGCTGGGAACATGTTGGAGTGTTCTTAGGCAGCAGGTCCGGTGGGATCCAGGCATCTGCATCCCACCAAGCCCCAGAGACACGTAGCCTGGTCCCTGGGCCATGGGGCACGGGCGCTGTGAAGGCTGAGCATGGTCGGGGTGTGGTGTCCTGGATGCGCCGTGTGCCAGCCAGCAGCCTCTCTGTCCCTGGGTCCGGGCGCCTGCTCTGAAGTGACCTTGGCCTCTAAGGGTGCATTCCTGCCATGCATTGGTGGAGTGGGGGTGGCCCCCGTGCTCACAGGCACCCCGCCTCGCAGCCACCTCTGGGGCTGGTGGCTGAGGTGTTCGAGCGCCAAGCCCCACGTCCCCCTCGGCACCTCGGAGGTGCACACCCCAGGCCCTTCCCTCTCGTGAGCTCAGCACAACTTGGCCAGGCCCGTGGACGTGCAGCAGGGACGGCCTCCTTTGCCTCCTCACGGCCGCATCTTCTAAGGGGGCTGGCACTGCCCACCAGGGGTAGCCTGGGCACAGCAGGGGCCCTGCAGGACCCTGGCCCATGGCCTCTGCGATCCACCCTTCAATGGGGCGGTAACCTGTTGGTGACGTTTCTGCTCCTTCCCTTTCTTCTTACAGTAGTGGGGAGCCCACCCAGGATGCCCACCACTGAGCCACAGCCCAGTCCCTTTCATGGTTTGAGACAGGGTCTTGCTGAGTAGCTGAGGCTGCCCTGAAACTTGCCATCCTCGGGCCTCAGCCTCCCGACAGGCGTGGCCACTCCACCTGGCTTTGTTGGTACTTCTGCAGCTGGTGCTGGACCACTTGCTGGGCAGGCAGAGGACTCTGCGTGCCCCTAGCTGAGCAGCAGGAGGAGGCCAAAGTACCCGCCCGTCCCCTCCTCTTCTCCAGGTCCCTGGATTT